CCCCAAAACCCCAAAACCCCAAAACCCCAAAACCCCAAAACCCCGAGGTATCATCAACCCATTGGAAATCAACCAATTAATTTTTTTATTTTTTGGATTATGATTAGTTAATTGATAAACTACCAGAAAACTACTTCTCTGTTAGCTTACCCTTCTATATTTCCCGAATTAGTGGAATCTCTGTAGTCTTCTTCTTCCTGCAGCGGCGGCATCACCACCTGCTGGAGCAGCGGTAGTATCATCTGAAGCTGGAGTAGCTGGAGCAGCTGGAGCAGCTGGAGCAGCTGTAGCAGCTGGAGCAGCTGTAGCAGCTGGAGCAGCTGTAGCTCCACCAGTAAATCCTCCCATTAACTGAGTAAAGGCAGCAGTGGTCTGTTGTAACAAGTCGTTCACCAAAGCAATACCGTCGTTGGTCATACCAGCGAAGTCGTTAGCGACGGCGGTAGTGTCATCAGCTACATCAGATTGAGTGGCTTGCTGAAGTCTGGATCCTCCGGTCATTCCTCCCATCAATTGAGCGAAAGCAGCATTGGTCTGTTGTAACAAGTCGTTGGTCAAAGCAATTCCGTCGTTGGTCAAGCCAGCGAAGTCGTTAGTGACGGCGTTGGTGTCATCAGCTACATCAGTTTGAGTGGCTTGTTGGAGTCTGGTTGGTGCATTGACAGTGGCTCCTTGGGCACCCATAGCATTCTCGAGTCCTTGGAGAGCGTTGTTGGTCAATAACTCAGTTTGATCAAGAGCGTCATTGAAAGCGGTTTCTCCGTCTTGGATAGCTCCAAGAGTGGCCTGGTTGAGAGTTCCGATGTCTTGAGCGAGGTTTCCTTGCTGAAGTCTGGCTCCTCCAGTGGCTCCTCCGGTGGCTCCTCCAGTGGCTCCTCCCATCATACCACCCATGAAGTTAGTGGCAGTGTTCAAGAATTGAGAGTTGAGGTCGTTGAATACAGCAGTGGCATCGTTGGTAAGCTCAACAGCATCATTAGTCAAAGTAGTACCGTCAGTAGTGGCAACGTTGACAGCATCTCCAACACTCTGCTGAAGTCTGGTTCCTCCAACAGCAGCTCCAGTGAACTGTCCTGCAGCATTGAGACCTTGTCCAATGAATTGGTTGGCCATGCCTTCAGTGGCTTCGGTGGCGTCGTTGAGGAGTGCTTCGGAGTCAGTAAGAGCTTGGTTACCATCTTGGATACCTTGTTGCATGTCAGTCATGAGTTGCTGGACTCCGTTTCCTTGTCTATGTTGAGTTAGATCATTGATCAAACACAGTAAATAAATTCTTCATTAATATGCTAATAAATCAGCAACTGAACAAATGAATACTTTCTATTGCTAGCCATCGACGATTAGTAGCAAATGTGAATGGAGTCTTACCTGACTCTGAAGGCACTTGTCATAGCAAGAGCCAAGCAAAGTACTATTGCGAGAGAAATTTTCATTTAGATTTTAATTAATTATAAAATCTGAGATATTTAAAGCATCCTAGAGAGCTGGAAGCGAACCCACCAGTTTCTGGATCAGCACCCGAGCATCTGCTTGAGCTATTTAGACCAATTACTGATCAAGCATAATGGTAAGAGAGTCATAGCGGTGAGAAGCTATGTGTAAGCCTTCTTGGAGCACCGATATTGACGAGGGAAATTTGCAATTGTGGCACCAAAAAATGGACATTATCTACTTTGCCATGTAAGTAAATTTCTAAAACTCCTTACTAAAAATCTTTCATGCATATTTCGCTACTTAGCCCACTAATCAGAATTTACATGATAATAATAACCTCCATGTTCCTTTATGAGCATCGGAGTGATAAGAAACAAAACTTGGGCATGAATGCAGATCAAATTTTGACTGTCACACCATTTCAGGTTACTGAAAACCCTAAAAATTGTTCCAGAATATCGACATTCTCAGACTCTAATGCTTGTGAATGCTTCTATACCAAATCAGGCTCTAATAGGGGTAATTTTGACCTAACTAATTATTTTGGAGGGTAGAACAACTACAAAAATTAAGATGAGGTGTCAACCATAGCTACAACTCAACTATTTAATATCTTCTCGGGGTTTTGGGGTTTTGGGGTTTTGGGG